TTTGGTTTTAACCAAACCAAACCCACAGGAGCCAGAGAACAAACCTACAGGAGCACTGGCCTGAGCTGAGATGGGGTTCAGGCTTTGAAGCCAATACATGTGCCCCCAGTTTTGCCACCTTGGGTTCCAGAGCCACCTGCCTGCACTGAGGGCTTTCTGGGGTGGGAGTGGTGCAGCTCAGCTCTTTCAGTCCCAAACGATTCTGACTCATGACTTCCACCTTTCCTCCAACCAGGGATGGGGCTTGTCACGGTGAAGCTTCGGAGGCCCTCGGTGAAGGGGCAGCCTGGCCAAGGAAGACAGCAAGGGGCTGCAGTCTGACCTGCACAGCTGGTATGGCACCTTGCACCCCATGGCCAGTGAACCTGCCAGGGCTGGGAGCTCTGCTGCAGGGACGGCTGGTGGGGATGGGCTGTCCTGCATGGAACAGGGAGTGGGGAGAGAGTACTGAAATGGAAGTTCTGGAGCCCTTGGGCCTTACCCTGCCCTATAATAGAGAGCAAAATGAATGCCTCGCAGGCACAGACAAATTTCTTTGGTGTGCCCCATAAAAAAAACAGCAAAGTAGGTCACTCATGGAATGAGAAAAGAAGCAGTGGTGTTGGCTGAGAAGGCAGGTGTCTCTGTGGGGGTGCTGGTGATGACTTCTCTGCAGCAGTGGGGCACCAGCCTGCCCTTCGTAGGGGTACCTGCTGGGTTAGACACTGTCCTGCAGCACTGGCTGCTGGACTGGGCTGCTTTTCCCTGGGGGCAGGATCAGGCCTCTGCTAGTGAGGCAGGTGACATGTTCCTCGCACCGGGTTGACTTCTTCCTCCTCTCTTCCTCTGCTCCTAGGTGGGACAATGAAGCTGAACGAGCGGAGCGTGGCCCACTACGCCACCTGCGACTCGCCTGCCGACCATGCCGGCTTCCTGCGCAAGCGCGTGGAGCGGCACCACCACCATGCCCACCACCACGGCACCTCCTACCAGCGTCGCTGGTTCGTCCTCAAGGGCAACCTCCTCTTCTACTTCGAGGAGAGGGAGAGCCGGGAGCCTGTGGGGCTGGTGGTCCTGGAGGGCTGCACCGTGGAGCTGTGCGAGGCTGCCGAGGAATTCGCCTTTGCCATCCGCTTTGACGATGCTGGCGCCAGGGCTTACGTGCTGGTGGCCGATGGGCAGGCTGCCATGGAAGGCTGGGTGAAGGCACTCTCACGGGCCAGCTTCGACTACATGCGGCTGGTGGTAAAGGAGCTGGAGAAGCAGCTGGAGGAGGCCTGCAAGAGTTTGGCCGCTTGCCAGAAGTCTCCACGGAGATCTTCCTCCTCTGGCAGGAAGAGGCATCTCTCCAACCCTGCCTTGCTGCCTCTCCAGGAGAAGCCTGCCATCCTGGAGAATGGTTACTCCACATGGGGTAATGGTGGTTGCATCCCTGGGGGAGCTGCCTGCCCCAACCATGATGGGGGGCAAGCAAAGCCCCCGCCCCTGCCTCCGCGCCGGCGCTCGGCCACCAGCAACGCCACGGGGTCCCCAGGGCCTGGCCTCTCACCAAACATGCCGGAGAGCCCAGTGTCACCAGAGACAATCTGTTTCTCCAAGCTGCACAACTGGTACGGGCAGGAGATCGCAGTGCTGAGACGGGAGTGGCAGGAGAGGCAGAAGAGGGGACACCTCTGACCAGGGGCACAGGCCAGCTGATTCCCAGCACCCTGTCTCCCACGTGGCAAGAGTGAAGCAAAGGATGCTGCTTGCCCCTTGCCCTCATCAGTAGCCAAGTGTGCAGTGCGTGTATGCTTCACCGGGCATGTGGGAGGGACCCGAGTCTTCCCCAAACCTCAAGTTTCATTTCCATGAGGCTTTATACAGCAGGGAGGTGTGCATCACTAGAGGAACCACCTTTGAATTCTCCTCTGGTGGTGATATAAGGTGCGGAGGGGGCCCAAATCAGCACGGATGCAATGAACCTCAGCCAACGGTCTTGGCCCCTTGCCGTCCTGATGTGGTGGATACTCTGGGTGCTTCATCACCCACCTCTCCTTCACCACATTTTTATGGTTTTCTTTCTCAGCGTGGAAGTTTGCACAGGTCAGCATTTATTACTGTCTGTGGTCTTGCGCCAAAGTCCTTCTGCTTTTGCTCTTTTCCACAGATAAGGCTGGACTCCTAGGAAATGCTTCCAACAGGCCACTGGCCCTGGAGGGTGCCTCCAGTCTTGTGCCTCTCTCACCATAGGACACATGTGAGCCACAGCAGCTGTGGCTGGCCCAGCAGCTGGGGCAGCAGGGACTGGCCTCTTGCATTGTCTTTCTTTAACCTTCATCTGCACTAACCCTTCTCCCTGCTAAATCCTTCAAGATGTGGATTTCAAGGGCTTGCATCCGTCTCTTTGGGTGCTCACACTCAGCAGCAAGGCTTGAAACAGAGGCACTGAGCCTGGTCCAAAGCAACAGTGAGGACCAGGAGCTCCCTAGGGCTGATCTAGACTCTGTCAAGCAGTAGCCAAACAAACCTGTTAATATCTCTGGATCAAGCTTTTGCTGTTCCAAAACAGGGATGCTGAGGCCTCTTTGCCTGGCCAGGGCTAAATTTCCCAGCCTGTGCAGACTGCAGCTCCTGCAAAGTGCCATATAGGGCTCAGTCAGCTTGTTGGGCAGCTTGCCCAAGAGGGAGTCAAGCTGCACTCTTGCAGGGCCTCTCTCACTGTTGTGGCCCTGCCCAGCTCCTGGCAGTACTGCACAGTTGGAGAGGCTTTGGAGGAGGGGGGAGGAGGAGAAGGCTGGTCTCAGGAGAAGTGAAGGTGTAGGAGTGAGTTATAGGTAGCAGTGGCTGTGTGTCAGCAGTGTCTGGGCTTGCCTCTGGCATCAAAGGCATATCTCTGCCTACGACCAAAGTCTGGCAGCACTTCCCTCTGATTTCATGTCAGCATTGCTTGGCTGATCTCCATAGCACATCCCACCCTCCCAGCAGGCTGGGAGGGCTGCAGGGAGGCATGCCTGTCACCTCACTACAGAAACAGACTTGTCCATCACAGGTTAGAAACCTTGGCCACAAGGCAGATGGTAGAAGCAGGTGAGTGCCATGTCCAGGGACTGGAACACCCTGGAGATGGTGTTCATAAATCTTTCTATCCTCTTGGCAAGGGCTGTTTTTCAGAGGAAAAAAAAAGTGAAGTAGTTGTATGCTTCCTATCTAACAGTGTTAAACCTGCTTTTATTGCTGTTTTATTAAGGAGCCTTGCTAGGAAAGCAAAAGACCATTCCAGGTCATGACTAGCTGGAACCTATTTGCCTTTCTGAGTTAAATGCACTCATTTTCATACTTTGCAATAGTCAGTAGAGATTGCCAATGCAGAACTCAAGTTAATTCCATTAACTTTTGGTGCCTTTGTAAATATATCTTTGGCAGTTTTGGATTACGAGCTTCCAGCCTCCTGCCTAACAATGGCTCAATGGTCTATTGGTGGAAATCAGATCTTCAATCAGATCTTACAAATATGACTTTGGGCAGTGAGAGTGTAACCTTCACTTAGGAGTGATGCAATCCAGTCCTCTCCAGTTCATGCCTGTATTTCTTCACAGTCAGGATCTTCGAGTTTGGGAGGATTATTTTTGTTCTGCTTTTTAAGTGAAAACAGTTCAGAAAAAGCAGGAGCAGGTAGCCATGAGTCACAGCCCAGACTCTGTCAGCAGCCCGGCTGGTTTGACTTAGGGGCCAGTTCTGCCTCCCTATGTGCTGCTTGAAGAGTACAGAACTGCAGCATTCCTAGCTGCAAACCTGTCCCTTCCCCATGCCAGGGCAGCAGCATCAGGAGATTGCACTTCTGGTGCCTCCTTGCTCTTAGTGTGGGTGTTTTGAGGCTAAGGTCAGATTTGGCAAGCATTTTCCTGTGGTTATTGTTTTAAAAAACGTAATACAGAGGGAAGAACATTCCTGATGTCTCAACTTACATAAGGCAATTTGATGGTAAAGATTTAACTTCCAAATCAAAATGTAGTGGCAGTTCCTACATGAGACCCAAGAATTGGAAGTGACTTGGAAAGTAAATTAACAAGGCCAGTTCTGTGAGAACTGGAACTGAAACAGTATTATTCATTTAAGGGCAGTTTCACTTTTAAGAAGCTTAGTTTGTTTTAATAAGCCAGGATTGTACTAGTAACACTACTAAAGAGCTTATATTTAATGCTTTAATCTGTCCCATTCAAATGGCACAATTTCCACGCTACCTGCCTGTGAGTTAGCACATATCCCAGCTAAATCCTAAATCCTGCAAATGAGGCTGCGCTCTGCTTTCTGTCTGATCGCATTTAGAGCAATTTTGTGTTTTATTCTGCAGCACTGGCAAGGAAATGGCTGGATCCTGATCCTTATTTGTGCTCAGCCCATCTGTCCATGCCTGGGCCTTTGCTAGGTCTCCAAAGTGCTGCGTGACTTTGGATGTGCTTGATCAGGGCTCGCTCACTATCCCACGCTCCGTAGCGGGGATAACCCTTTGCTGGGTAAAAAGAGCCACAGTTGGAGCCGTGCCCAAATTTGTATGTGAGGATAGGGTTTTTAATGACCATGGCTTGCTTCATTAGGCAGCGAGCACCTGGTTGCTCCCCTGCCTCTTTGGAGATAGAGGCTGCCAAACCAGCTCAGCTGAGAATTGGTTGTGCTGGCAGCACCCTTGAAGTGGTCCCCAGGCAGGAGGTCAGGACTTCAGCTTCCACATGCAGCTGGCTAATGGAGCATCCTGTCTGTTTGTCTGCAGGCAGAGACTGTTACAGAAAAGGCAGAGAGTTTTCACTGCATATTGTCCCTGGCAGCAAAGTAAGACTGACTGCCACATATGGGTTTTTCTGTCGTCACTCAGGTTTGAACTGTTTCACCTCCTGCCTTCACTTTCCCATATTAATTTTTTAAAATACAGAATGTCTGGACAGCACAAAACAGGTTCCCTAGCAAAGGGGAAGCTGAACACTAAAGCTGAATGGGTACACCTCTGAAAGTACTGAAATAAGATCCTTTTCTAAGAGTTTTCTTTAGTTTAATAATCCAAAAGCAATGACAGAAAAAATGCTCAGATTTAAAAGAAATTGAAGGCTGAAAGTGGGAGGGCAATTCTGACACGGTTTTTGTGCTGAGAAGGGCTCGCAGTTCTGCTGAAATAGTCGATGAAATCCTTGTATTTTTCTGAGACTGGCATTTCAGATTCAAGCCCATAATGTATTCTTTCTTCACATCCTCTTGTAAAACTGTGTTGACGTTTTCCACTAAATCCAGGTCCTAGCGACAGGAGTAACCTGAAGATTTTACCTGTGGCCACTGCTAGCCATTTGTTGGACAATCATGACCAAAATTGGCCGTTCTCTGTTACAGTAGCTACTGCATTCACAGTGGGGGCGAGGGAGCCCTCAAGTCTTACCTCTCTGCACTGCCTTCGCAGAGAAGCTTAAGTAACCCCAGCAGAGATGCAAGGGGAGCAGCTCCGGTGTCCAGGGCCTCTCTCCCCAGCACCGAACATGCACCATCCGCACAACTAACTACCTGGCGACACTACGAGCAACCCGCGGGAGCGATCCCGCTTCTCCCAGTGCTTCCATTTTAGGTAGACGACGTGTTCTTTTTTTTTTAGGGGGCAGTTTTGCATGCGCTTTTGTTTTACACGCGGAACTTGTATTATGCGTTTCATTACACCGTTAGCCTTTGTTTCGTACCGCGAAGCCGAATAAAACAAAACGTCCCGCGAAGCCGAATAAACCGGGTGGGATTTGTAGCCGATGGAGCCCTGAACGCGCGACATGCGCGGAAGCGTCCACCATTCTCCGTCCCGGTTTCTCCCTGTGGAGCCTCATCGGGACCCCTGGGGCAGGCGGTGTAGGCTGCCCGGGTCGCTTATCCCCGGCCGGGAGCAGCGCGGCCGCTCC